ATGGTTAGAGACACTGAGTGATATGGCTGGGTGTCGCAAACAGTGGCGCTCGTGCATCCACTCGTTATTTTCCTAACACCACTCTATATGTATTACCCATCTTCCGCTTGAATTTGCCTCGACATTCCAATCTTCATTTTGCTCTTTTATCCAAATGGGCAACCAAAACCAGCGCACGAAAGTGCATGGTTAATGGTTGTAAAACTGCTTGGCACACGTTTCGGCCTCATATGTGTGGTAAATACACGGGAGACAACTTCTGGTCCCGTTTCCGAGAATCTTCATCGGTTATTTTGGGCCATGGAGCCAAATTATTGTCTAGTGGGAGATTGTCGTGTGAAATTCAAGCAATTAAAATATACCGTCTAGACTCAGAAAAGTGTAAAATGCGATAAACTTCCAAAAATATTACCAAACTCTGAAGTCCCTTTTAACCACTTATAACCTTTTCGTAATATCGCTGAATGACCACCAATTTTATGTATATGTATATATATATTCTATGTACACAGAAAATAATAACAAATAATGCTCTGTTTTTTCGACAGGCATTTCCGGAATGAAGTACATCATTGCTTTCGCTGCTTCCGAGTTTGTCAATTTTCGACAAGCCGAATTCCGTGCCCTTGCTGAATTACAAGGTCTCCAAGCGGACCGAATTGTCACGGACTGGTCTGAAGACTATTGGTTACGACCCTATGTGATCGTCGAGTTGGACAGTGATGCACAAGCAGAGGCACTGGTCGAACGAAGTGTTCTCATCAAATCAATTTACCACTGTTGGTGTGATGCCGATTCGTTCCCCCAGTTGCTGACTAAGGTTCCGTATAATCCGCTTCAATTATTAGTTCTAACTACACTTCCCCCCATCTGTTTGTTTGTTTAGATCCATAATCTGCCAGAGAGTCTCACAAATCAATATCTGAGTCGATTATGCACATACAAGGTGGTGATCAGCTCGGCGAATAAAAAGATTGATCAGGAGAGCAAGTTAAAAATGATCGAGGATGTTTTGAACGCTCATCCGGTTCTGGAGGCGACAGTATGTCTGAAGAATCCTCAAGTAAGGCTCATTTTGGTTTGTAATGTCTTGGTTCCAAACGATGAATTCTATCAGCATCCATTTTGCCTTGGCAGCCCTGATTTGTACTTAAGTTATTTGTGACTCCGGATGATACCAGTGGGTTATTCAAAGCTGAATGCTACCAAGCGCGTCCCCTGGTTGCGGTTAGGGGCATACCTTCATCGCAGGTTAGTTGTGAATAAGTTGTGGTATATCGCAACAAATAAGCAGTCGCGAACAAACAGCGGCGGCACTAGTAGGGTGTGGTGGGTTTCAGGCTGGTCACCTGGCTTCTGTTTAAAAGCCGAATTAGCCCAAAAACAGTGTCTTGACAAACGTCGATGTGACTTGCCTTTTAAAACTAAAGTCATTGACCCCACTTCCTAGTCGACGGATTACTTCTTCCTTCCTTGCTGTTCGCACTTGGTTGTGCAAAGGCTAGAGGTGTACCCTAAAAAATCCGCCGGATGACGCCGAGGACGCCTCTCGTACCAAACTCCCAAGTAACTTCATAATCATGATCGTGTCTGGAGTCGGCTTATCCCGGTCAATTTGGTGCCCTGTGTCCCGTCCGGACCAAGCCCCATTCCATTTTCGAAATCTTTAGATCCCGGCCAATGCACATATTAAACAGTAGCCATATTCTAATTCTCTTTTGTTTGAATGTTTTCTTGAGAAGAATTATTGAAATGTAGAATAAGGAAGAAATGCATAATGTGGTTCTACTCCTTCAATGAATCTGCTTCCCCGATTTGTTCTACGGGATTTTTTGTGGTGTATCAGACTGGGAAAAGTTGGCACACAGACTCGTCAGCCGCATCGTTCTCATGCGTCTAGTAATAACTTGGCCTTCTGATCATTCCTAGCACACACACACACATGGAGGAGGGACGGAACCACCCGATGCATCCGATCAGCCTTGATAGATTGAAATATCTGAGTAATGTCTTGAATACTGACTGCATTCCGATAACTTCTCTTAACGTAACAATACCTTAACCGCATTCATTCACTTAACCGTCACAAACTGTGTACAAGCCAAATGGGTGCCAACGTCTCTATTTTCAAGATACTTCACAGCTTAAACGGCTTAGTTGAAACACGTTACCGACCCCTCAAACACAAGAAAACCCACACCAATGATATCTCTCAACATTTTTCATCATTTAGGCTTAATCGAAACAGCCATTTAGAACACTATTTAAAAAAGCATAAAAATGGATGTAGAAAAAGCGATTACTTAATAAAGCTTTTGTAAATGAACCCCCTATCTATCCATCCCCGTTCGTGTGCTAGAATTCACCAACCGAATATGCTGTATATGTCCCTTTTTGTTTTACGTCCGCGATTGAGGAGATTACACGAAATGTTAACATTGCGTGACATGTCTTTTTTCTCTGTACGTTCATATCGCAACTGTAGCTACTGGTAAATGTTATCCTTACGTTTGGAAATTCATCTCAAACAACTGTAGAATATGTCTCGCATTTCTCCTCTAATTTTCAGCACCAGTTAAACATTTTGCTTGACTATGCCCCTAAAAATTGGCCGAAACTTCCCCCGGGAGCAGCCAAAGAGCACCTAAGACATTTGTACTACGGACGTTTGGTCGCGATCAGCAAGCGTCGTGAGCTGATCAATTCCTATCGTTTGGCCGATCGAAACTATCTGGGCAATACGAGCATGGATGTGCGATTGTCCGGGATCATGGCCAATGTGGGTCTTTGTGGGCCGGGCACACTTGTATGGGATCCGTTTCTCGGGACCGGAAGTATTGTTCTAGCCGCGTCAATTTGGGGCGCGTACGGTGCGGGATCGGATATTGATTACGCTTTGTTACACGGTATGGGTATGTCACCCAAAGCGGGTCAGGTGAGTTGCACACTGGCAGATTGGAGCCTATAAATCCCGTGGTGTGTGTGTGTGTGTGTGTGTGATAAAGATTGTCGGTTGTTGTCAACTAACGACTTAACCAATAAACTCTTATTTCGGACTCACTGATATGCTCTGATCAGATATACAAACTGTTGTTTGTATTGCATCTGTCCAGATCCGATGGTTATTTGGGGGATAAATTTGATATGAAAACGGGCCAAAGATATCCCATTGCGGTCGGTATCTACCCCGTCCGTTATCGGACTTCGTTGTGGCTTCTAAACTGGTTATTCACCGAGTTATCTTTTGCGGTAATTGCAGTCAAAGTCCTCATAAAGTTATTGATGTTCTCTTTTAACTTGTTCTCCTCTAAAAGTTGACTGAAGCAACGATTCAGTTTTATCTGTATAACTGTTTCCAATAGACGATATAAGTGTGGTCGGAAAATTGTTCAACTCNTCCAGATATGAACCAAAGAGAAAAAAGCAAATAGCTGCACAAATTTTTCCCCCGGGTTTGATCATTGCATAATTCAGAAATGAACCCAAGAAATCACATATAAGCAATATGTGCTGCCTTCTCAATTACTGTGCGAATAGAAGTATCTTTTGTGTGGCTTTTTCTCTCTCCTAAATTATGGGTTCACAGAAATCCACTGCTTTTGACTCCCCCCCCCCAAAAAAAATTAGGTGTCTATTGGGATAACGAGGTTAACTGTTCTCGTATCAGATAAAAAATATGATGTTGTAAATGGTCTCATGGTCTCCTGCTGTCAAAGAATTATGTGTCCGTTGATAGTACAGACGCGAAATGAATTGGTTCCACGCGTAGGTTGGGACGGTAACCGGAGAAGCTGTGTGGCAAAATGATGCAGGAATCACTTTGACTGCAAACGATCGTAGAACTCCTAAGGCCAGTCCGCTGTTCAAATGAGCTTCCTTGAGTAGGTTTCTCTCTCTTAGCCACACCATTGGGCTAGTATGTCACCGGTTGCATTCACACAGTCACACCGTAAGTTTACACAGTCAATCTCCTGTTATGTGGCACTCCTCGGAGATTCCAAAATTAAGTAAATACCAAAAACTGCGACATCGCAAACCAATCAGTAGTATATGCTTTCAAAAAGTATGAAAAATCAACTGGGATATCTGTGACAGAATAGTCATAGTATTTTGAAGACATTTCAATTCTGTATGAGTCCGTCAGTTTGATACTATAGACCGGTACACTCGGAATGTAGTCCTTTTTCAGTTTCAAATTGCGTTTTATCCTAAAAAATACTTGAATTTCCTTTTGGCTATTTTTCTAACCCCATATACAGTTGCCATGTAAGTGTGACCGCCAGTTGGGGTCCACCGTGATCCATAACGCTTTTTCACTACACTGACATCACATAATTGGGGCACAGTTGACGGTTCAGACTATACATTGTATTTTGTTAGCAAAACCGCATTCAAGAGAATCCACATAATCTGAAAAGCCACGATTTGATGCAACATTTCGAAATAACACAATTTCTCATCAAATTCTAAATAAGCGAGTTCTCTAAGAAGACGCTCATCAGTGGTTACGTAATGCGTAAAATCTTCGATCTCATGGCATTAATCCTCTAGTGGCTTCATTATCGGCTGATTGGTTGTCGGTCTTGAATCCAGCTTTTAGGAAAGCGTTGATCAATACATCCGGTTGAACAGGTATCCACGCTTGTTTGACCAGATGCACGGCCATGCGAATGTCCATTTCGGCTTTTGTTGCATTGTACATCTTCTACCAGGGACAACGTCTTCCTGTAAATATTTTCGGGACGAACATCTGAAAAACCAAACCGTGCCCTGGTTCATTGGTTGTAATACTGAATAAAGAACGGTTTGGAGGCAACCATGTTCATTTTACATTGGAGAACACTGCGGCGTTGTTATGACAAGGTGCTTACCTATTGATGGTAAAATAGAGTTTCTTTGTAGAACTATGTTGCGGTTGAAATCGGTCAGCCAACTCTGGCTTCACGCATTCGTGATAACTGTTCTGCAGTCACCCGGGAACAAAACAAACATAGTGCCTCCTTCCCTGGATTTCTTGGCTCCAGAAACGGTTTGTCCTCCGAGACTTGATGTTCCTTTGGGGAGCTGCTTGTTATAGGAAGCTGTTTCGTCAGCACTGAGAATATCACAATCAGCACATTCGTTCAACGCATCACGCAGTACCATCAAACTTGGCTAGTTTCTTACTTTGTGGGACGGAATAGCACATCTGTCTAACCAAGAGCGAAACCAAATTTTCAAAGCCCTTAAGTTACCATGATACATTTTTATGCTAGTTCAATCACCTTGAAAACTATGCTCTTCATCATTAGGAACTTGCCATACACTTCCCTCAGAGTGGTAAACCATACCAAGTCTAGAACTTATCGTTCCGTTTTCAGGTGTCATCTTTCCTGAGATGCACTGGAGTTGATCAATTCTCCGAAAAATCGTTCGATTTTATATAACACTGTAAACAGTTTTCCTTAAAATACTAAGTCATTTTGCTACATTTGACTGAGTTGCACCTTGCTCATTCAACATATTCTACTTCTCCCTAACAGACAGATGGGGGGGGTGATAACCTCGTAAGGTTCATTACTACCGTACTGTGCAGTATTTGGATGAAAAAGTGCATTTCTTCATCTTGGTCGCTCCCATTTTCAACAAGGGATCTCGCAACGATTGCGAAAACCAACGCAGGATAAGTTTGATCCCGATCGTCACCAAAATGCTATCCTCGGTCATACTTTGACGTTTGACTCCTTTAAGAAAGACCAAAATTCGTGAACAGCAAATCGGATTCCGGCCTGGTCATGGATGTATGGATCAAATTTTTAGGTTGCTTCAGGTCCTTGAGCTGCGTCACACCCACCGTCGACCAGCGTTCGCAGTGTTCCTCGACCCGAAACAAACGTTCGACTCATTTGACCACGAAGCTCTGATGGGTTCCCTTCGAAAAGGAATGCCCCAGAAGTATGTTAACTGAGTTCACTGTACTCACATACCTCTGGTCATGTAAGGGTCTATAATGAACTAACCAAGCCGTTTGTCAAGGGTGCCCTCTTTCGCCATTCTTGTTCAATTTCGTTGCAGACGACATACTTAGTGGTCTTCAAAACGAACTGAATGGGCAGGTGGAGAAAAGCTGTGCGATTTAAAATACGCTGATGACGTCGTCTGTCTGTTCGAATGTATGGAGAACGCGCAAAACACTTGATAGACTAACAAGTGCAACTGCCACATTCGGTCTGTGCTTTGCACCTTCAAAGTGCAAAGTGATGCTGCGGGACTGGTTTCGTCTACTCCCGCTCTGAAACTAAATAGCCAGGATGACTCTTCCTATGTATGTAGTTGCGTGACCAAGACGCTAGCGAAACAAGTGAGATAATTGCCGCATTTCCAAGGCTCGAGTAGTAAACGCGACGTTTCACTGAAGTTGAAAGGTCGTATATACTGTGGCACCGTTCGTTCAGTTCTGCTTTATGGTTGTGGATAGAAGATATTCATCGACTAGAAGTTTTCGATTATCAGTGTTTACGCAGTTTATCCCGTGTGGAAGGAGCGAACGAATTATTAATCTGCAGGTAAATCGTCGTGTGTTTGGAAGACTATCAGGTATAAACCTCCTAGCACATCGAATTTAGATTAGCAGACTTCGCTGGCTATGACACGTATTGCGTATACCCAGGTATCGTCTACCACATCGTGCCTCATTCGCTGTAGTCGCTCCGGGCTTGAGGAAACCACGTGGAGATCAACAGATGACGTGGAGACGAGGCACAGAGAAATGCACAGAGCCATTCGGTAGAGTAGGTGTCACGCGCCTTCCAGGTTGAGGTCCGAAATACTCTGAAACCGGTTGGTTGGAGACACTGAGGGATTTGGCAACGAACCGACAACAGTGATGTTCTCGCCGTCCCTTCTTATCAGACCAGAGTGCTTGAAATAGTTATGTATGCAGAGTTTGATTGTGTACTGTGTGTGTTGACTATAGAAGTTCACCTTCCCCCTCCCTCAACTTAGGTCGAATCCCTATTCATCTTAAATTTTACCACTGATCATGTATACATTGCAAGTTTGGCAGCGATCAGTGAAGTTCGCCTCACTGTATTTCGCTGTACGATGATGATGATGATGATGCTAGGTGCTTGCACATTGTCACATCTTAACCAGCTGGCATCTATGTGCCTTCCTCGCAAGGACTGTTCAATTAATGAACCGCGTCATGTGTACGTCACACTAGATGGGATGTGATTGGCTGAATGTGACATTGCATTGCGTTGGCACCAAGCTTGCTCGCAAGCCGATGATACCTATGATTATATATATATATATATATATATATATATATATATATATA